TTATTATTATAAATATATATATAGCCTACACTTACATCCCTCTTTTCTTTTTTCTTTTCTCTCATTCCCGCCTTTGTCTGTGTTCCTTTTCTTTCTTTCATTTCGCTTTCACCTCTCTAACGTTTGTTACCGTTCTTTTTGTTCTCTCTTATCTCTCCCTCTCCCCCTCTCACTCTAAATATCGATAATAATTATACTTTTTTCTTAGTTTCTTTTTCTTTTTTTTTTTTTCTTTAGAAATCCCTGTATTCTTCCGAATTTGCTTCGCGTGAAATTGCGCAGTTTTCCTTCACGACAACTTTACTAAGCACAGAGCGACTCGCTAGCCGCTGTTTATTTTTTATTATTTATTTATTCGTTAAATCGTTACTCTTTTAATTATATAGCGTTTTTTTTTTTGTTTACTCTTCCTTTCTCCCGTTCTTCCGTATCACAAGATAGACCAATTACAACGCGCAGAACACACTCTATCTAAAAATTCATTTACACACCTGCCGTTTCTCGTTCGATTAGGTCGCCGCAGAGGGATCCTCCTATTCCTCCTCCTCCTCCTCCTCGAGGCAGCTGCTCGTTTCTTTTTTCGTCGGTTCGCTCGTTTTGCTGCACCGACTCGCGCGCCTACCACCTCGATTCGCTCGTACCGCGCGTAATGCTCGCGTCTCGCATGCGCCGTTGCTACTGCGCAGCCAGACGGGAGGCGCATGCGCGCCCGCGAACGCGTCTCCTGCGCCAACCGTCCGACCTGTGCCAGCGAATCTCTACGTTTCCGTGCGTTTTTCTTTCTTTTTCAGATAAAACGTAGCCGCGTACTCTCGAGATTCTATCTTACAAAACGAACCAACGCACTAAGTATTAATTACAAAAAGCAACGCGACGCGAGAATTTCGCTCCGAACGTGGTTTCGTATCGAAGAAACGTTGCTCCTCGTTAAGTCACTGTAGCCCCGCAGACAGTAAGTCGTCTTTTATCCGAACAACTTCGACGAAGAAGTAGAGAATAAACGATAGAGAACATTTGTTAAAAATTACAAAAGAAAAGAGAAGCAGACTACTTCGACGGAATTAGAGCGCGACACGGCAGAGCAAACGAGCGTTCTCACAATCGTCGTTCTTATTCGCTGTAAAAGTACCACAAGCTCCGATCGAACATACGTATCGGAAATCGTCGTCACAGCAGCCTCTATCGAAAAACGGCAGAGAATTAGGATCGAGTATTAATAGGCACCTTACGTACTACGAAGTAGAGACTTTAACGTGCACATAGAAACTGCGCGGCTCGCTGGGGGAGGCTGCGCGAGATTTTCCACCAGTCTCCGCCGGCGAAACGCGCCCTCACGAGAGAGATAGATCTCGAACGAGCGAAAGAAGAGAAAGAGAAAGAGGAAGTGGAAGAAGAAACGAGAAGATTTTTTTTTTTTGTTTCTTTAAGTAAGTACATCAGCGCGTCCTCTGTTCTAGCATTTCTTCTTTTCCTTTTTTCTCTCTTGTTGCATTCGTTTAATATCGGGACATTTGGAAACAACGATGTGTGTACACAATGGACAAGAGAAGGATTACGTGTAAAAGGAGGGTTTCTATGGAAGAAAGGGGGGGGGGAGTAGGGGTAGGTGGGATAAAAGGGTGGAGCGTTTCAGAGATGCGAAACAGTGCGCAGCCAGACAAAGATAATCAATTAATTAGTCGCTGAATTAATTAATTACTTAGACCGCTAATTTCTACGCCTTAAAAACTACTGATTCGGTATTATCTCACCCGCTGAGGTGGCCTCTCGTCCGCGTTCATCATTTCGGTACCGCATTTAGTGTAATCTAGCCGCGGCGAGAGTCCCTCGGAGCGCGTCCAGTCCATTTAATCGGGTTGCACGGCGCGTGCTTTGCAGAAGATTTTTTATTTACTTTGGCTTCCCTTCAACTTCGAATAGTTCTATTGTATGACGGAGTGTCTCTCGTTGGCCACAGGCCTGGATATATTCGACGGACTGTGAATCGTTTTGCACACAGGTTTCGCCCGATCTTTCAACCGAATAGTTCTATTTCAAGTCCGTGCGCTTTATTCGAAAGTTCTCCTGGTGGCAATAAAAAAACAAAAACAAAAAAAGAGGAAAAGTTCAAACGTTCTTTCGTCGATGCGTATATAGTGCTGGTTGCCTGCGATCGAGTTAAGGGAGAAAAGGAACGAGCGCAAAAGCACGGGTAATAGAAGAAGAAGAAGAAGAAGACGAAGAAGAAGGGGAAGAAGAAGAAATATAAATTCCGCTTGACGAGTGACAATCCGTCGAGGCTATCGTTCGGCCTGTGTGTCAGTTCTCGTCGGGTCTGACACCACGTGTCCTACTGGAAGTGAAGTGTCCCCGGGCCTGGCTGGTCACGCGAGACTTGCTCCAGTCTTGGGTGACGCAGTTCGTAGGCCGGGCCAGGGAGACGGAAAAAAAGCCTTTTTAGAAGTTCTGCTCGCCGTACATCCCGGGGAACCGGACAGCGTGTGCTCCGAGCTCGGCGGGCGAGAACTCGTCCTATGTGGCCAAGTGAGCGAACTGGCCTGGGTGGGGCGCGAACTGGTAAGGGTGGCCGTACGGCGACATGTGGTACGGTACAATGTTCATGCTCGCCATCTTGTGCTCCTTTTTCCACTTCATCCGCCGATTCTGGAACCAGATCTTGATCTGACGTTCCGTCAGGCAGAGGGCATGAGCGATCTCGATGCGACGCCGCCTCGTCAGGTAACGGTTGAAATGGAACTCTTTCTCCAGCTCGAGGGTTTGGTACCTGGTGTAAGACGTCCTCTGTCGCTTCGTCTCGCCGTTTGCGTTCACCGTACCTGCTCGACAGAAATATTGCTTTGTTAATGTAAGCGTGATTTTGGGGGATTTTTTGTAGTTGTTCTTTCGGATCGTGTTTCTCTTTTTTTTTTTTGAGCATTGTGGGAGATGAGGACAAATTTTGGGGATCCTAATTGGGAATCTGTGTGTTATGTTAATAACGCGTTCTCTATTTTCTTCGTTCTTCGTTCATTCTACAGACTTGGAACGCGTTTTCTTTGAGAATTGTGGGAGATGAAAAATTTGGGGGACTCAGATTGGGAATCTGCGCGCTACGTTAATAATGTAGCGTAATAATAAATACGACCAATTGATTTATAGTTATTAGCTCTGTAATTTAATTTAAAATTTATTAATTACTCTTGGGGTCTCGAATTAACCCCCGAGACCCCAAGAGTAATACTCAATTTGTATTTTAATTATTTAGTATAAATTATCTAAATAAATACAACCAATTGATTTATAGTTATTAATATTTAAGCTTTTAAATGCTTAAGTTTAAATTGTATGCTAATATGGATTACGCTTTATTAGAATCACTATATATACAAATTATTAACGCTTCTCTATTTTCCTCGATTCTACAGAATTAGGGACCTTTTACCGTAATTCTTTGGATCGTGTTTCCTCTGAAAATTGCAAGAGCTGAGGAAAAATTTGGGGAACTCAAATCGGGACTCTGCGCGCTATGTCAATAACGCTTTCGCTATTTTTCTCATTCTTCCCCGATTCTACAGAATTAGGGATCTTTTGCAGTAATCCTTTGGATAGCGTTTACTCTTGGAACTGTAGGAACTGAGGGGAAATTTGGGAGACCCAAATTTGAAAATTTGCGCGCTATGTGAATAACGCCCTCTCTATTCTTCTCGTTCCTTCTCGGTTCTGCAGAATTGGATCGCGTTTCCTTCGAGAATTGTAGGAACTGAGGAAAAATTGGGGAACTCATATTGGGACTCTGCGCGCTATGATAATAACGCCTTCTCTATTTCCTTCGTTTTTCCTCGATTCTACAGAGTGGACCGCCTCTCCCCTGAAAATTATAGGAGCCCAGGGAAAATTTGAGGGCCTCAAATCGGGACTCCGCGGGCAACACCAATAATTCCACAGAATTTAATAACCTTGAGTGAGAGTAGAGGAGAGCTCGTCCAAAGCAATTTCCCAAAATTATCACTCAAATTGGTCCCGCGATCAATTGAAAAATCACGAATCAATGGAGACAACCTTGGATCGTTCACGATCAGAAGATTGTACCGAGGATCGAAGATACGCCGAATAGCGGTAGGGGAATGAAAAAGAAGGGAGTAGGTTGGAGGAGGAGGTGGAGGTGATCAAAGAGGCGCACGGTTCATAATAGCCGGGGCTGGACGCGTGTAACGCTTCACGGGTTCGTTAATTATTTCAACGAGTGTGCGGCTCTAATGCATCGACCGTTGTGCTACCGGATCGCGAACTGGTCACTTGGCAGCTGTTTTACCTATTTGCTCAGCACGCCCGAGCCATAAATAATTTTGCAACGCTGTTATTACGATACTCCGCCTATTACACCTATCCAAGCTAACGGCGGCGTTGCAAAAGCCCTGGCTATCCGGTAATGAATAGCTCGGTGCAACGAGCATCGGGAGAAAACCTCGAGGTCGCCGTTTAAATACCAATAACCTGTTACTTCTGCTTTATCCAGCCTGCCGCAATCACCGGTTACCGGATCGTGCACACAAACCATTTACACGTAACACCTTAATATTCCAATTACGATAACGTCTTCGATACTTTCCCTTTAATCGCCGAACGGTTAGACACGTGTGTTTCGTTACCTGTTATCAGCTGAGACGGGAAGACGATCGGACGAATTTATTCGTCGACGCGCACACGTCAAAATTCCCGCCACTTAACATGCGTCTCCATCGTGGTAGATTTTTATCTGTGGCAATTTATAAGGAGTCCGCGGGGAAAATATGGAACCGATGGCAGATAGGAATTCACTTACAACGTGTCGTAATTTTTACGTGGTTCCGCCTCCTCCTATCTCGTTTCTTTTTTCATTTCCTTTTCTTTTTTTTTTTTTGGTTGGAAATGAAAAGGGGGGATCGATGGGGTATCAGCGGTGTCGAATCAGTCGAGAGCAGGTGCGAAGCGAATCGAAGTGGAGAAATTGTGTTTTGCTCCAGCGGTGTGATCATAGATCCATGTCAATGCGGATATTAAAGAGTCGGCTCATTTACAGCAATAATGAGCACGCTATTAATAGCGTGGCGCAAGAGGGAGAGCCGAGAATCGCTCAGGGACGACGGTGCGGCTGCTGCGCGGTCACGTGCGCGAAAAACTCGCTTTCTGAGCACGCTCACGGAGAATACGATTCGACTTTGGAATACCATTTGCTTAAAACGTCTCTTAGAAATTTCGTTTAGCGACGATAATGGAATTTTGCATAATGCGACGCGATTTCGAGCTCCGTTCCTGAGACGTCCGCCGTTTATTTATTGGAAATACCCTGCGGCTCTTGAAACATGACTGAAATTTTCAAATTTTTATTTAATTTTCCCGTTCGAAAAATTCACGGAAACGTAATCTCTTTCGAATATTTTTCACAACGGAATGCAACAATTCAATGTTTAAAATCAAAGCCGATTTCGCCCTGCTTTCCGTTCAGGCGGCACACAGCGGCGATCACTTCGCGAGCTGTTCGGTTACAGAAAATGCGCTCACACGACATTCAGAGGAAGAAATACCAATCCGGGTTGATAGAAGAAGTGTTCATAAATTGCCAAGAAAAAGAAGGAGACGTGCATAACATTTATTTTTTAAACATGATACTGCCGGTCCCACGGACCGATGCCACTCGAACGAAAAGTTCGCTGTCAGTCACCGCGGACCGACGCCGCCTAAACGAAAAGTTCGCTGTCAGTCCCCACGGACTGACGCCGCGCTTAACGCGTTAAAATATTACTAAAAAAGGTGAAATTCACATTTGAAACAATTCTATCCTCTGTTTGAAACCAGCCGTCCTCTAAATAATCACAGAAATCGAACCCTTCGTCGTGCCAATATTTTAGTAATTCAAACCTTAATTTCAGAGATATCCAAGCAAGTGTGCATCATTTTCTCCTTAAAGTACTATGAAAAATTGAAAAGTTCACGTTTCTAAAAGTTCTACCCTCGGTTTAAAGACAGCCACCCTCGAAATGTTCGCGGGAAGCTCCTCGACGCGAAAACGGGGAGAGGAGCAGGAAGAGGAGAGGTTCGAGGAAGCCCTCGGACAGCCACGACTCGTGTCCAGGGAAGCTTAATGACCGGACCCTTCGAGCGGCGCGTTATCACTTTCCTCCCGATGTAGCACGTCGCCGGTCTGACTTTTTAATAAATAGCTGGGCCAGGCTCGAACGAAGCCAGCATATCGTTTATCCAGCGCACACCTAGCCGTTTTGTAACACGGCGAAATGGAATTCCTTTTTCTGGCTGGGCTCATTATTATACGACAGTCGAACGCGCGAACTATAAGCCGGCACGCGTACCGACGTCGCCGAACGGGGCAGAAAGGGGGGGAGGATCGAGCGTGCTCCTCCCGTGGATCCTCTGTGCGGATCCTTTCCGGTGATTAATTGCCAGACGTGTCCCGCTGACGTCGATACAACCTATGGCGCAGCACCGGAGACAATCTGCGAGAGAGAGAGAGAGAGAGAGAGTTCTTCGATGGTGTTTCCAGCGTTAATTCGAGTCGTTGGTGTGCATCGGTGTTCATTGTGAATGGTGGTTGGATTAATTGGTGGGAAAATAGCGAAGACTCGTGGTTGCGAGGGATTTGGAGATTGGAATGAATGTTTTTTTTTTTGACGTGTTTCGTGTCAGGGAGGGAGGGTAGGTTTTATTGGAGCGTTGAACGGAAGATGAGAAATCGGATTAAGGGATTTGAATATGGAAAATGTCGATTGGGTTGAATTGAGGAGTTGGAGAGTTGAAGAATTGAAGAGTTGAGAAATTGAGAGTTGAAGAGTTGAGAAACTGAGAGTTAAAGAGTTGAAGAGTGGAAGAATTGAAGAGTTAAAGAGTGGAAGAATTGAAGAGTAGAAGAATTGAAGAGTTAGAGTTGAAGAATTGAGAGTTGGAGAATTGAAAAATTGAGGAATTGAGAGTTGAAGATTTGAAGAGTGGAAGAATTAGAGAGTTAAATTGTTGAAGAACTGAAGAGTTAAAAAGTGGAAGAATTGAAAAATTGAGAGTTGAAGAATTGAAGTGTTATAGAGTTGAAGAACTGAAGAGTTAAGGAGTTGAAAGATTGAAGAGTTAAAGAGTTAAAGAATTGAAGAATTGAAGAGTTAAAGAGTGGAAGAATTGAAGAGTTGAGATATTGAGAGTTGAAGAGTAAAAGAATTGAGAGTTGGAGAATTGAAAAATTGAGAAATTGAGAGTTGAAGATTTGAAGAGTGGAAGAATTGGAGAGTTAAAGTGTTGAAGAACTGAAGAGTTAAAGAGTTGAAGAATTGAAAAATTGAAGAGTTGAGAACTTAAAAAATTGAAGAGTTCAGAAACGAAGAGTCGAAGAAACACTTCCATTGAAAAATTGAAGCTTACTAGAAGGAGTAAACAAATTTCGGAAAATTTGAATCCTTCCACTTCTTCAAGGTAGAAAGATTAAGCTTGGAGGTGAACACAGGCGATTCGATGCCATCGCTAGGCAGATACAAACGCATGAGAAGGGTCACGGAGTGAAAGAAACAGCGTCCATAAGACGGGGGCGGAGATTATTGATGGTGACGATGCACGGAAGATTCGGGAATTAAATGCGGGGGAGGAGTAGCGAATTCGGCCGATCGGCTGGTAGCGTTGAAAGCGGTTTAAATTGAAAGTAGTGCGTTGATTCGATTCTCGAGATCCTCCATACGATAATGACGACATTCAGCACCCGCTACAAGCATGGTGATTAGCCGTTATTTGAACGGCGTCAATCTACTTGCAGATGAGCCTCTTAAGTCGACGAATCGTTTCGAGAGATAAGTCGATACGA